TAAAAAAAACTTTCATATAATATTTTGTTCAAATTTTTTTTATTAAAGGAAGGAAGGGGGGGGGGAGGGCGGCGGCTTAAGTTAAAGTACTTCAATCATATGTTTGTTGACATCTGAGTGTCTTTTCTAAAAGATTTAAATAATGTGCAAAACACCCATATATTAAAAGATTTGGAAGTGTTTCTTTGATTATATCTCTCATTTTATAAACTTATTTTCATTATCTTTTACCTCAGCCAGTGCTCGAAATAATAATTCGAAATTATAATTTTATAACTTTCAATTAATTATAATTTTATAACTTTTGCTGTTTTAATTTTAGTTATTCTCTTTAGAATTTAAGTAAATCGTTCATTTTGCCGTTTTGAATTTATTAATTCTATTTAGAATTTAAGTATACCATTAGTTTTGCCGTTTTTCTTTTTGTATTATTTTGTATATATATAACATTGCTGCTTTTTTAATTAATCTAACTATTTTATTTAGAATTTATATAAATCATTTGTTTTGCCGTATTTCTTTTTAATTATACCAATTTGAGTATAAATAAAACATTACCGTTTTTATTATTTTGTTTGGATTTTAAATTACCATAGTTATGCCATATTTATTTTAGTTATTTTAATTAGAATTTAAGCAAATATTTGTTTAAATTTTATTGAGAATTTAAAGAAAATGATCTTTTGCTGTTTTTATTTCAATTATTTTATTTAGAATTGAAATAAATCCTATGTGGTTTTTAATTCAATTATTTTATTTAGAATTGAAATAAATCCTATGTGGTTTTTATTTCAATTATTTTATTTAGAATTGAAATAAATCCTATGTGGTTTTTATTTCAATTATTTTATTTAGAATTGAAATAAATCTTATGTCGTTTTTATTTCAATTATTTTATTTAGAATTAAAATAAATCCTATGTAGTTTTTATTTCAATTATTTTATTTAGAATTGAAATAAATCCTATGTCGTTTTTATTTCAATTATTTTATTTAGAATTGAAATAAATCCTATGTTGTTTTTATTTCAATTATTTTATTTAGAATTGAAATAAATCCTATGTCGTTTTTATTTCAATTATTTTATTTAGAATTGAAATAAATCCTATGTCGTTTTTATTTCAATTATTTTATTTAGAATTGAAATAAATCCTATGTCGTTTTTATTTCAATTATTTTATTTAGAATTGAAATAAATTGTTTATTTTATCGTGTTTTTTTAAATTATTTTATTTTGAATCAAAATAAAACTTTGTTGTTTGTTTTTTTATATATATTTTATTTAGAATATAAATATAATGTTTGTTTTCCCATTTTTATCCTAATTATTTTATTTAAAATATAAATTTATTTTCTATGTCCTGATTTTATTTCCTTTTATTATAGAAAATAAACAAATGGTTTGCTTTGCCGTTTTTATTGTATTTAGAATTATAAAACTTTGAATTATAATAAAACAAAGAATTTAAATAAGTTGTTTGTTTTGCAGTTTTTACTTATTTTATTTAGAATATAATTCATTTCAAAATAATTTTGATGCTAATTAAATTTTAACTTTCTGTATTTAAAATGTTTTTGTATGATTATTACAAAAGTTTGACTAGTAACTTCTGCCAAAAATTTGATCGGCCAGATTTAATTTTAGGCGATCAAAATTTTTAACACTTTTAATTTTACTTTGTTGACTTTAAAAAGTCACTAGGAGATTATTTCAACAATAAACTTAAAAAGTCACTAGGAGATTATTTCAACAATAAACTTAAAAAGTCACTAGGAGATTATTTCAACAATAAACTTAAAAAGTCACTAGGAGATTATTTCAACAATAAACTTAAAAAGTCACTAGGAGATTATTTCAACAATAAACTTAAAAAGTCACAAGGAGATTATTTCAACAATAAACTTAAAAAGTCACTAGGAGATTATTTCAACAATAAACTTAAAAAGTCACTAGGAGATTATTTCAACAATAAACTTAAAAAGTCACTAGGAGATTATTTCAACAATAAACTTAAAAAGTCACTAGGAGATTATTTCAACAATAAACTTAAAAAATCACTAGGAGATTATTTCAACAATAAACTTAAGCGATCTGGTCAAATAAATAATTCAGCATTTAAAGCTAACCAGATACTTGGTACTCTAAAAGAACTTTTATTAATAATCCAATCACATTTTCAAAACTATCTACTAATTTTAATTTTGCGCTTCAGTATGGAATCCCTATTTAAAGAAAGATATGAAGAGACTCGAAAAAAATGCAGAGTAAAAAAACTAGTTCCTCAATTAAGAAATATGAACTATGAATCTCGATTGGCAAATTAACTTTATTTGAGATAACTTTCAGATTAATGAATGAGGCAATTCGGTATTTCAAAATCTACAAGAATTTTAATGAAAATTAAAATTCTTGTCGATTTGAAGTTCCAAAATCCAAATATAACACCCACTTGTTTTTCAAATCGTCCTGAAGGAAACTTATAAAACAAAATCCACACACTATGTAATTGTCAGAGGAATTTCAAATAACTTGCATAGATTTATTATCTAATAAAATTGCATCCCAATCGAATGCCTTACTTTTTTCCTGTTGTTTCATCACATTCTGTCAACGAATGTAAAAACAAACAAACAAATTTTTGCCATTCCACTAGAATAAAGTCTACTATAGCAGGGCCTCATTAGATGTCCAGTTCATAAAAGCTAACTAATTCTACTGTAGATTATTTATAACAATAATAAAAAAAGGTTTAACAAAAATTTTATATTTTTTAATTACAGTTTCAAATTATTTTAAAAAATCTTTTTGAAAATAATTTTAAAAAAATTCTTTTTATAAATTATTAAATAACATTATATAAAATTCATAATATTTAAAATTAAGTTAACATACATGAAGTAAAAAAAACAACCTAACAAGGCTTTTTTGGGTTTTATGCCAGGGTTTTTTATTTAAAATCCGGGTTTTTGCCTACCCTAATTCTAAAGTGTTTTGTAGTCAAAGGTTATGGTCAATAGCGTTGTCATAATAAACACTGTTTCTATGTCCAAGATAAATATATGTTAGTAGGAAATCAATGATGAGCAAATGATTAAAAAGGTAAAATATCATAGAAAATAATTAATAAATAAATAATGAAGGTAAAATATGATAGATAATTAATAATAAATAAATAATGAAAAAAATTTTAATGAAGAAACGAAAAAATAAATAAAGTAAGATCTACAAGAAAAAAGCTGATGGAAAATATTTTATTTTTCATGTTTTTTTAATCAAATAAATATGCTGAAGCTTTCAATGTTCAAAGACAACACAAATCTTTGCTCTGTTGGACGTTTACTTAAAATTTCAAAGTCCTACCATTTTAAGTTTAACAGGACTTCCCTCCTCCTTGTTTTCTCTCCTGAATCAAAGTTATTTTTTGTAAATTTTCAAGTTTGATGCTAAAAGAAAAATTTACACTAGTTTTATTAGACCATTTGAAATTCGCTATTTTAACCATTTGAAACTCTCCACTGAATTCCCCATATTCTTGATGTTGAATGGGTATGCAACTTAAACCAAGCCTTTGGAGCTGATTGAATTAGCAAAAACAAAAATATCATTATATTACCACCTTACAACATTAGTTATATTACCTATCCATGTTTCCAATTATTAAATAAAAAGTAAAAAGCTAACAAATATATCAGTTTTTTGAATCATGTACAGCAGCTACAGTGAAAAAGATATTTTTGAAAACTCATCAGAAGTTCTCATTGAAAGTTTTTACTTATAAAAAAAATTGACTATTAAGTTCATTTTATAGTAAAACTATAGGAAAGTAAACCAGATCATGCTTTATCTATATACATTTTTATCAAGTGTAAATTTTAACTTTTTTCTTTTGTTACTAAATTTTAGTTGCTTTTTGCTAATCATTTGTGTATAAATAAAATAAATAAAACCACAAGTGATCATATAGCATTAACAAATTAATGTAGCATCCACAAATCTATAAACAGTAAAATATCTTGTTAAATAATTAGAGTAAAATATCTTGTTAAATAAAATTTTGTATTTTTAAGTTTCTATAAAATTTCTTTTTACTTTTCTTTTTAAGTTTAACAACCAAAATTACCCTTTTCACAAAATTAACAATTTAATATATGCACATGGTTTGGATGGGTTTCCACAATACCATTTTTTTTTAAAACACATTAACGAAAAATTGATGCAATACTTTACAACTAGATGCTCTTCCTGGTGTTAACCTGTTTTGCAGATCAGGACAGTGTTTTTATTGTTATACCACTAGGACAGTGTTTTTATTGTTATATTACCACTAGGACAGTGTTTTTTATTGTTATATTACTACTAGGAAAATTAAAAAGGATTAAAGATTAATTAAAAAGTTCCTCTAACACTTACAATTATTCAAAGAAAAAAAAAACAGATCTTTTTCAGAATAGCAAATAAAAAAGTTTAAAAACATATACTGTTTATTATAAATAAATTTAAGATAAACCTAAACTTTAATTATGCACAATAATAAAATCTAAACATTTTTTGACTGGTATTTTTTAAGAATAATATAAACAATAAGCTATTATTTATTTTTACAACTTTTAAAAATAATACAACCAATACGCGGTTTATTTTTACACTATTCATTTTTATGACTACACAACAACAACTTTTAATAAAATGAAAATATTAGTTAAATGTAAACAATTTGTATTATCAAGTATTTAAACACACAATCCTAAAATAACTTTATAAATTGCAATTGTTGACAGTTAACATTTGTATTGGAACATTTGTTTGCTAACTATGAAGGTTTATAAAAAAGCTTTTACTATAAATTGATAAAAATAAATTTGAAGAACAAAAGAGTTTTGATAAATTAATAAATTAAATTCTAAATTAGCTTCAGGTTTTAAAGTAGTGAAAATTTACTAAATAATCAAAATATATAAATAATGAAAAATAACTAAATAAATTAAATAATGAAAAATAACCTCCACGTATTCTTGGATTAGGATCAATGATCAGATATTTTTCAACCCATTTTTCCATATTCTCTATCACAAACTTATGAATCTAATCATGTGTTAAAACATCTTTTAAAAAAACTTTCTAGGTGTATCTTTTTAAAAACTTAGATTTAATAGTTTACCTCTTTGTTTCTTGAAACATGGTTTGAAATCCAATCTAATGTTAATGCAGGACTATATTCTGCTGTCTATAATATAAGAATGTTTTCTATAAAAAATACAAAAAGTACTAAAATTTCAGGCATTCAAAGAAAAATATTTTATTTACAATCTTCTATAGACATTCATTCATAGACACATACAAACATTTTCAAAATGTAGCATAACAATTTTAAAAATGGTTTATTTATGTTAATATGATAGCTATCATGAGCTCAAACTCATATCATAATGGCTATCATTCAAAACCTCATAATGGCTATCATTCAAAACCTATTATGTAGCTTAACACTTTAACACTAAAATACAAGACTGGAAAAACTTTTTTTTTTCTTTTAATTAAAAGATTGTTTGCCCAAACCAAAACCCTTAGTCAAAGATTATTCCGCTGCACCTATGAAAGGAACAAATGGATATTACACTAAAAAAAAAAAGAAGTTATTTCATCAAATATAAAAATTACATACCTGCCATATTTTAGAGAGCACAATTGCAGTATATGATGGCAATCCAGGTAAACCATTTTCTCCTACCTCAATTAATAGAGACAAAACTTTGAAAAAATTTTGTGACTGATCAATAGAAAGCTTTTGTATAGTTGATAGTATAAGATGCACAATCATTTCTGCCATTTGTTGATTGTAACAAGATAAATGAAATATAATGTTTGCTGTTTGTCTTAAATTAATACCATCCATTATAATTTGACACAAGAATGGCACCTCCTAAAAAATATTGATTGAAATTTAAAATCATTGGTTTTATTTAAATATGTTTTTTATTAAAAACATAATAAAAAAAAATGTTTTAATTTTTCATAAAATTGATTTTTATTTTAAACTATTGTTATTTCTAAAAACTATGAAACTTTGGTTCTTTTGAAACCCAGATTAATATACTTTAGAGACCCAGATTAATATACCTTGAGACCTCATTATTATACTTTTTGGAAAAAATTTACTAAAGGACCCAGCATGAAGACAGATGGTGTGGGGTGAGCTTTTTCATAAGAAAATAAAATCAATGAATTTTTAGTTACATTTCAAAGTTCATCTATTTTTCATACATGAAACTGATTGAAAAATTATAAAGCTATGAAGTTTATAAGAAAGCTCCAAAGAACTGATGTTCGAGGAAAAAAACTAGACAAATAAGAGTTTTTGCACTTAGTAAAAGTCACAGAATAGATGAGACTTAGTTGAATGACGAGTAACACAAGAATAAATTTTAGTACAACAGCACAAGAGACACTAGCTCTTTAGAGCAGTGACCAGTATAGTATTTGTAGAAAAGAGAAAGAGAAACAATGTTATAACGATATGATAATGGTCGGAAGATGGCTGTAAGAGCAGGTCCAACTATCTTTACAATATATTTTTGCACCTTGTATAAAAGAGAAAGGGCATCATTAAAAGATCTGCCCCTGATATGGCAACAGTATTCCATACAAAGACAGATTTGAGATTTATAGAGATAAAGAATAGAATCCGGAGTAAGAAATTGTTGAGCACAAGATGCAACATTAGCAGATGCTAATTTTGCAATGAATTTTATATATATCGTCCAAAAAAGACCGGAAGTAAGAGTTAATTCTAGAAGATGAAGGGTAGATATTAATACATCACCGTTCATAAATATAGGAAAATCTCAATTATTGTGATAGCGATTAACTGAAAAAAAAGTTTTATCTGAATTAAAGTTCACCAGCCATTAACAGCCCCATGCTGTAGCAGAAGTGAGATCTATAGAACAAGAAGATTGAAATCCATATTGATAATCAGAAAGTAAGTTATTAGATTCAAGATGAAAGATTAGATGTTTGTTAATTAAAGATTCTTGCTTATGATAGGAAGAAGACTAATGGAACGGTAGTTAGACAAGTCAGATCATTCTCCAGAATTTTTGAAAATAGGGATAACAGATGCCAGACTATCATTATGCCAGAGTCTTGTTTTCCAGCTGGCTGGAAAACAAGACTCTGGTAAGAACTTATTAAATAGTTTTGAAAGTATAGACAACAGCTCTGGAGAACACTTCTGCAAGACTATAACAGGTATGTTGTCCAGACCACAAGCTGTAGAAGAGTCCAAGCAGGAAATCACTTTAGATACAGAAGCTGGAGTGATACAAATTTCAAGCAATGGATCAACCTGTTTGACAACTAACTCAGGTAGAACTTAACTGGTGGAATCAAGAAATGATATTAATGAAAAGTTCTTAGCAAACAAATCGGCTTTGTCTTTTGGTGAGGTGACAATATATATATATATATATATATATATATATATATATATATATATATATATATATATATATATATATATATATATATATATATATATATATATATATATATATATTTGTATATATATTTATATATACATATATACAAATATATATATACATATATGCAAATATATATATATATATATATATACAAATATATATATATATATATATATTTGTATATATGTATATGTATTTATATATAAATATATATTTATATATATAAATATATATTTGTATATATAAATATATATTTGTATATATAAATATATATTTGTATACATATATATTTACGTATATAAACAAATATACTAATATATATACATATAAACGAATATATATATACATATATACGAATATATATACATATATACGAATATATATATATATATATATATATATATATATATATATATGTATATACATATATATATATGTATATACATATATATATATATATATATATATATATATATATATATATATATATATATATATATATATATATATATATATATTCCATTATTGAATTTTAGACAATTTTTCAAAAGAATGCGACTTCCAGAATCTCACATTTATTCGTACATCAAATTCAAGCAAAAACATTTATATATTGGACAATGGATTTAACACTACAAAACTTATTTTATAATTGATGACATATTTTTATAAACAAAGACATTAGACATTATGGGGTTGTAAAATAAATTTTATTTTAATTGATTGAAAATATTATATTTATACTAATTGTTTAAAAATAGTTTTTCTTTTCTTTATTGCCAGATATTGCAATATAAATTGAATTTTTAGGAAAGTCGTTGTTTATATTTTAATTTTGGCTCAAAGCAACTTGCTTAAATATCTTAAATAAGAATAATTAAATATTAAATATCTATTACATAATTATATATTATATAAATATTTGATAATTAAAAATGTTCAAGAATTCAAAAAAGTATCCATGCAACGTTAACAATAATGTAAAAACAATGAACAGTTCAATGAAGAACTATAACGGGTTCATTAAAGTACCTTATTTTAAGGTTCTTCCAAAGAACCCTTTCAAATGGTTCTTTGAAGAACCTCTATGGGTGCTCCACCAGCGTCAACGCGAAGAACCTTCAAAGGTTCTTTAAAGAATCTTACTTTAAGGTTCTTTAAAGAACCTTACTTTAAGGTACCTTAAAGAACCTTACTTGAAGACCATTCGGCTAAAGAGTGTAATGCCTTGAAGTTAATAAATGCCTTTTAGCTGATTATGGAAGAAAGTGATCAGTTATAGAGATCAAATAATGTAAATTGGCTGTGTAATGAATTAATTAGGAGTAGAAATAGAATTAAATAGAGAGACTGTAAGACAGAAGTGTTACAAAACTATAGCACACAAAAGTATTGAAATACAAGAAAACTATAAAGATGAATTAAGAGGTAAAAAACTTGTTTTCCATTTTGATGGTTTAGTAGTTAGCCATATTAAAGAGAAATTGAAGTAAAAACTGTGATTGAATTGCTGTTTCTGTTACAAGTCTAGAATTTGGGTATAAAGATGATCTTCTAGGAGTTGTACAAAATAACACTGGAAAAGTACTTAATCAGGTTTTAGTTATATAAAATCTGTTGGAGTATTTTGAAGTAATCGAACAAGTTTTTGTAGTTTGTACTGACACTACTGCAATAAATACAGGCAGTATTTATGGCAGTAGTGTCATTATATATATATATATATATATATATATATATATATATATATATATATATATATATATATATATATATATATATATATATATATATATATATATATATTAGGGTGGTAAAAACATAAAACAGAGTGCTTAAATATGAACTCCAACCCTTTTTTTGCATTCCTTTCAACGAAAAAATAAATTGTTCAAAATATTATTAAGATATTTTAATATCTAGTGGTTGCTCAATGAGCTTGATATTATCAGATTTAAGGGTCAATAAAGAATCAAAACAAATGTATTTTTATTTTTTTCTAATACAAAACTTCTAATACAATTAATTATTTTATTTGAACTTAGTGTTGTTTAAATGATTTTATTGTTATTAAAGATAGTTCACTTATTTTTAATTGTTGGTTGTTACTTGTTTTCATTAATGCATTCCCAATTGTGGCCTTTGGCATATCTGGAATTTGATGGCAATGTTCTTACACGGTTTGTAAAATCTTTTGCAAATGTAGGGGGCTGATTAGGTTTAAGCACTCGATAATTTTGTCTTCCCCATTGTTGAGGAATTCTAGGTAGAGATGGCTGTTAGGTTTGAGTTTAGGTTAATGGCAAATAAAAATAAAGGTAAAGCTAATAAAATTGCGCACACCAGCCTAAAAATGAGATTTTTAGGTCACCTTTTTAGGTCACTTTTCGTTTTTTTCAATTTTAAACGAAGAAGACTAAATATATAAATATATATTTGTGCTTTCAATTTAAACAATTTTTTTTAATAAAAATTCTTTTTTTTTTAATCCATTTTTTCATATTTTCATTTGAATTCATTTGTTACAAGCATAGCAAAGTCATCATTCAAAGGTATTCATATTATATCATTCAAAGGGTAAAAATTTCAAAACTTTCAAATTGTTGTTCTCGCATTCTTTACTCAAAATTGTAGCACAAAAATTATGTTATCAAATTTTAAAATCTAATATTAATTTATTTAAGTGAAACAGTTCATTTACAAGTTTAGGTTATTTTAATATTATTTCCATATATTAATATTTTTAACATTATATTTTTATATAATTGATATTTTCATATAATAATAAGATCAGAAAAATTATTACAAAAGTTTAAAGTCTTAGTTAAACTCAAGTTAGAGAAGAAAAAAAGAATAAAAAAATAATTATAAAAAACATATTAAGAAATAAACTTCTTTTAAATTTAAAAAAAGTTAAAGTTTTTATTATAATCATAGATGAGTTTTTGACTTTATGAAAATCCTGGAAATTTTTTTCTTTGAAAATCCCGGAAAATCCCGGAAAGTCATTTTCATGAAAATTCCGGAAAATCCCGGAAAAATTTAGGGTCAATAAATTGACGAAGGTATGTAGGTAAATTCTGGAACGTTGGTAAAGGGATAAATAAAGAAACTAAAAACTACTCATTAATTATGTTTCTCTAAAATGAAATATAATATCTCAGTTTTAACATAAGCAACCTGCAAAGCACAATAATTTCTTTATATTTAAAATATAAAATGTAAGACAATGGAATAAATGTCAGGAATCAATACTTTTTTTTCTTATAATTTTCTGTTGTGAAGCATTCGTCAGCTTTTCTTTTTCTGCACTTTTTTGCATGATCAATAATAGATTCTTTAACTTTTTTTGCACTGTTCATGTAAGGCAATTTTTTTTTTCCACGTTGAATTTATATTTAAAAATCTTTCTTCAACTTTTCTATTTTTCCGATGGAATTTCATTTTTTTATTATAGCGTTTGCTTGCAGTTTGCAAATGACCACAGATATTTTTGTTAACTGAGTCATGCAATATATCTCGCCTTTTAAAGTACCCTACTGCTGTGGTCTCGTTTGCTAATAATTGATACTTAACTGAAGCTATAGCAGAGTACGTTAAAGTATCAAGACGGTTTGTCTTTTTGTTAACTATGGTGTTCATCATGCTGAATGATTGCTCAACATGAGGACTACTAAAAATACTTAAGCATGCCTTGATAATCTTACTAAGCTCTAAATATTTTTTTTCACTTAAAAACTTCAGCCCACCAATAGTCAAGACGTACGGGCTTCCCATCATCAAATACGGGTGGAAGCGCTATATCTATCTGAAGCTGCATAACTTCTCGATTAAATATTTATTTATTTATATCTACAGAGGGAAAGAAAGTTGAGAGTTTTTTTAGCATTCTCTCTGTAATTTCGTGACCTTGAGACATTGGGTCGATCGCAGAGAGGCATTTTAATAAAGGGTTGTTAAAGGGTAATTTATTAAGTAAGTAAACTGACGATTCAAGGTAAGCTTTTAGCAAGGTCTTTAAAAACGATGATTTGAAATCAGGATTTCGAATAAGTATTCTTGACAAATATTTTTCAGCATTACTTCCAAGGTATATGTAGTTCGAATGGCGATACATTTTTTTATCTTTCTTTTAAAATTTTATATAACTTTTTACAAATCAATAGCAAAAAGCATCCGGAATTTCCCGGAAACTTGATGTGAATTTCCGGAATTCCGGGAATTCCCGGAAAAAACTCATCTATGAAATTATATATAAAAATAATAAAATAAAAAATATAATATATATAGTTTTAATAACATAAAAAAATTAAAGTTTTTATATATAAAAATAATAAAATATAATATATATAGTTTTAATAACATAAAAAAGTTAAAGTTTTAATTATATATAAAAATAATAAAATATAAAATATAATATATATAGTTTTAATAACATAAAAAAGTTAAAGTTTTTATTATATATAAAAATATAAAATATAAAATATAATATATATAGTTTTAATAACACATAAAAGTATCAAGCTTTAAAAATTTTTTTTTACTTTTAACTTTTTATCCAAATATCTTTGTATTAGATGTTTTGTGTGTGTAGGAAGAAGGTGAAATTTGAAAAAAAATAATTGGGGGTTTTGGTACCCTTGTAAGACATCGCGTCTGTCAACCTAGTCGCAAGAGGATTTGTACACACTTTATCTAGCAATCATGGTTGAAATTCCATATTTGTTAATTCAAAGTATCTTTTTCTCATATTCCACACTCCAAAAAATTCTTTGATTTCAATGTCAATACATTTAATTCTAGATATTGGAATAATGACTTCTTATAATTAATGTTTCTGCATCTACCATCAATCAAAACATGAATGAAAAGTATATTTTCAGCTATTTTTATTTGTAAAACTTGTCAAGATGACTTTTTCATACTACTTTTGGCTGAACTTTTATAGACAATCATTATATCTTTGTTAAGTTTTTTTTTTTTGCTGAACTTTTATAGACAATCGTTATTTTTTGTTAAGTTACTATTGGCTAAACTTTTTTTTTTTTGAATTAATTCTGATTCCAAAAAAGACTGCAAGCTATTAAGTTAGAAGTTTAAAAAAAAAAAAAAAAGGCAAGGAAAAAAAGGAAAAAAAAAGCGGTTGACATGAAAACATGAAGGAGAGAGTTCTGAAGGGTTTAAGTGCGGGAAAAAAAACTAGATAAATAAAAGTTTTTAGAGTATGCAGGGGCAGATACAATGAAAGAATGAGACTTTGCTGATTAACAAGTCAAGCAAGATTAAGTTTTAGTTAATGGAATTAGAGATGATAGTTCCTTTGAGCAGCAACCATAATAGTATTTTTAGAAAAGAGAAAGTGATGCAACTTTTTAATAATGGCAATAAGGATCAAGTTTAGCGAAAACAGCGGGATAAAAAAAGAATGTCTAACAATGAGTTAACCTATTTAATTGGAATGAAAGAAAGAGTATGGCCATAAAATTCAAGAGCCAAATTTGAAGAAAAGTATTTTAAATTTAATTTGAAAGCCTTATCCTTGGGAGAGGTAATAAGATCAGTCCCATGAATGAGAGATGGAACATTAGGCTTTGTTAATGGCACTGTTTAAGATTTTCCAAAAGTCTTTAGAAAAAGTCTTTAGAGCCTGATTTCTTAGATGTGAAATTGAGTGAACTGAGAAAAATAAAATAAAAGCTTAGCATCAGACAACACCTTCTTACATCAATTACCAATTTCTTGCAATAATAAATAGCCATTTTTATTGAAGATTGGTAAAGAACAAAGAGAAAGGTGATAAAGTGAAAAGGTGCTAACAAAAGTGGAAACACATAAAAGAATGGTCAAAAGATTCGAACCTGAAATCATGACAAATTGGTGAGTTGATAAGAATGTATACCACCAAGTTTCAAATTTATAGACAATCATTACTTTTTAGTTACTTAAAAGTAAAAGATGATAATGGATCTTTTCATAGCAAAAAAAAAAAAAAAAAAAAAACCTATTTTTAAAATCACAATCAGAGCAAAGAAGATATCATGACAAAAATCATGACAAAATATCAACAGTATTATGATTAAAGAGGCAAACAAAATGTTTCACAGAAGATATCATGACAAAATATCAACAGTATTATGATTAAAGAGGCAAACAAAATGTTTCACAGAAGATATCATGACAAAATATCAACAGTATTATGATTAAAGAGGCAAACAAAATGTTTCACAGAAGATATCATGACAAAATATCAACAGTATTATGATTAAAGAGGCAAACAAAATGTTTCACAGAAGATATCATGACAAAATATCAACAGTATTATGATTAAAGAGGCAAACAAAATGTTTCACAGAAGATATCATGACAAAATATCAACAGTATTATGATTAAAGAGGCAAACAAAATGTTTCACAGAAGATATCATGACAAAATATCAACAGTATTATGATTAAAGAGGCAAACAAAATGTTTCACAGAAGATATCATGACAAAATATCAACAGTATTATGATTAAAGAGGCAAACAAAATGTTTCACAGAAGATATCATGACAAAATATCAACAGTATTATGATTAAAGAGGCAAACAAAATGTTTCACAGAAGATATCATGACAAAATATCAACAGTATTATGATTAAAGAGGCAAACAAAATGTTTCACAGAAGATATCATGACAAAATATCAACAGTATTATGATTAAAGAGGCAAACAAAATGTTTCACAGAAGATATCATGACAAAATATCAACAGTATTATGATTAAAGAGGCAAACAAAATGTTTCACAGAAGATATCATGACAAAATATCAACAGTATTATGATTAAAGAGGCAAACAAAATGTTTCACAGTGACATTGTTATGAAACTTTATGTATTTATTAGGTAAAAAAGTAAAAATATATTTTTACCACTATAATATTTCAAATGCAAGTAAATATGCAAAAAAAAAAAAAAAAAAAAAAAAAAAAAAAAAAAAAAAAAAAAAAAACTGAAATTTTTTTTTCAATAGTTTAGAAATTTTCATGATTTTTTTAGTTTTTTTTTTCAAAAATTTATTTCAAAAAAGCATTAACATCTTAAAATATTGTTATTTAGATTCTAATGTTATTATGTTATTAGAATAAATTAAACCAGAAAATTTGTCAACAGTTCTGTGTAGTCAGCCAGTCAACATTAGTGAACAGTTCTGCGTAGTCAGCCAGCCAACATTTGTGAGCAGTTCTGCGTAGTCAGCCAGTCAACATTTGTGAGCAGTTCTGCGTAGTCAGCCAGTCAACATTTGTGAACAGTTCTGTGTAGTCAGCCAGTCAACATTAGTCAACAGTTCTGTGTAGCAATAAGTAAACTTTTAATAAACTTTAGTAAAAATTTGTTTAAAATTTTCTTATTTCGTTATGACAGGTGTACTTATTATTATTTCATTATGATAGGTGTACTTATAATTATTTTATTAGGACAGATGTACTTATAATTATTTTATTAGGACAGATGTACTTATTATTAGTTATTATTCATTATTAGTTATTTAAAAGATTATAACATCAAGATTTAAATCAAAACTGTTTTGTGGTTGAATGTTTCAATTGTTTTAAAACAGTGATCAAAAGAAATTCAGTTTCAGTTTTGTGCTTAAATGTTTCAATTGTTTTAAAACAGTGATCAAAAGAAATTCTGTTTCAGTTTTGCGGTTGAATGTTTCAATTGTTTTAAAACAGTGGTCAAAAGAAATTCTGTTTCAGTTTTCGTTTTGGCATAAAATACAAACTGATACAGAAATTTAATTACTATTGTAAATTTAGGTTTAAATACTTTTATGAATTTAGTAGAAAAGAAAATTTTATTTTCTATTAAATTCATAAAAGTAAAGTACTAAATTCATAAAATCATTTAATTTTATGAATTTAGTACTTTACTTTTATTTGAATTTTAATTTGAATTTAGTACTCAAATGATTTTAAATTTTTATTTAATTTAGAAAATTTGTTTTTTTGGCAAAATCCACAAGATATTTTACCATTTCAAAATGAAATTTTAAACCCATAGTACAACAATTTTTCAATTTTTTAGTTAGTAAATAGTAAATATTCGTCAGCTTTAAAAAAAAATAAAACCATATACAAACAAACCATGACAGTGCACGCAATATTTGGATAAAAAGCTTCTACTGAAATTTTGATGTTAGTTTCGGTAAAATATTTACTAAAATGTTGGTTTAGATATTGGAATTGTATACCCAAAATTTTGTTTTTGGCATATTTTCTGTTTTAAGTAATTTTAAGTAATTTCTAAAGATTAGATGAAATTTCTTATCATTACATTTAAAAATGAGTAAAATTTACAACAAAGCCTTAGAAAATTATAAAAAGTTTTAATATTGATTTTAAAACAAAAATAAAGAGAAAATACTTTTGTTGATGTAAAACACTGTAAATCTGAATCAGACAAATGTAGTTCCCTAAAATAAAAAAACAACTGATCCACTATATCAAATTCCTAAGAACTGAGACAAACTAGTAAAATGCTACATAAATTCCTGGAGTTAAAAGTCAAAAACTGCAAGTAAATGTAATTCCTTAAACGGAATAAAAACAACAAGTGAAACACTCTATAATCAAATATAATTCCTTAAAATAAAATGAAGAAAAACAAGTAAAACACTATGCAATCAAAATTGATTATTTCGAATCAAAGAAAAAAAATGTCACACAAATCAAATTTAAAAAAAATTATTTTACTCAAACCCAAATTACATGAAAACATTGCTTACTAGTTCCTGTGTTTTTTTTTGTTTTTTTTGTTTTTATTTAATTTAAATTAAGTAATTCTACTGCTGCTGTAGTGTACTCTACTTATAAATTTAACTTACAAACAGCTATCAGTTCCCTATCAGCTTACGAACTATCCCTATCAGCTTACAAACTATCCCTATCAGCTTATACCAAAAAACTTGACTTATGAACCATCCCAAGCAGTTTTTACTAAATTTAACTTATGTTTTATCCATCTACTACCAAAAAATTTAACTTACAGACCATTCCTAGCAGCTTCTACAATTAAATTGAACTTACGGACCATCCCTAGCAGCTTCTACTAATAAAGCAATTGAGCCAATCATTTTCTCTAATGCATTTGGATAAAACTTATCCTCAGGAAACATTGATAATATATCTTCATCTTCTAAATCTAGTTCTTCCTCTTCTTCAGCTATTGATTCTGACTATAAAAATATTAAATGACTAAAATGTTAAATTCTACAACAAAAAATATCTAAAAACACTAATATAAGGTTGTCTATAAAGTATGTATCATAGGGGAAAGGGAAAGGTCCTTCAAATAGCTTAAAAAACTGCATTGTTTTTTTAATTTATCACAATTAACAAGGGTTATTATCTAAATGTTTTTCAATAATTAAAAAAAAAAAAAAACTTTGACAGTTCCTATTATTTGACAGTTTAAGTGGGGAATGGAGAGGTGAGAGGTGGGGAATGGAGAGGTGAATAAAGAGACAGTTTAGGTGGGGGAATGGAGATAGGAATGTGCATACACTTAAAAAATAAGAAAAAAAATAGAATGTAATTGTCACCCATAATTTGCCAGGAAATCAATTAAAAAGTTAACTATTTTTATAAAAATCCTAGTTTGCCAAAATAAAAGAGTGAATGAGAGTGTATGCATAGGGGAGGAGAGATAGTGTCACCCTATACAAACTTACAAAAGGAAGGTGCCTGAAATGAAGCTTATTAAATTAAACTGTCATTAACCCCTAATGAAGCTTATTAAGTAAAAATATCAACAAATAATGGTCTAGCAGTCAACTAACATGTCAAAAAACCTGTGCCTGTGATTCAAATACAACAATTATTAGACACTTCTAGGAATAAATAAGCTTTTGGTATCTGGTTCAAAGAGACTTGACTAAATATTTATTTGAGTGAAAATTAAAAATTTTTTAAACTTTTAACTCACTTAGCTTAGAAAATTTTTTCTCTATTCATATAGTAATAATTTACAAGAAAAAATAAGTTTTTATTAAACAAAAATATAGATAAGCACAACTATTTTTTAAAATAAAATTCTTACAGGTTCATTTGCTTTTAGACAACTATAAAATTGAACCAACATTGTTATGGCATCTATTTGCAGTAAAAATGAACACTAAAAAAGTATTAAAATAAGCTGTATATAGCATTTTTTTTTAAATAAAATTAAAATATCATGCATAACTAGCCTTGTATGAAACGCCATTGATGACACTGTACTGAAATAGCTATCTACAGGGCCTTGAGTACTAACATCAACTGAGGGTTGGAGCAAGTACTATATGAGGTATGAGGAACTTTTGTTATGACTAAAATAGTTTTTTTATAAATATTGTCATTCTTCAAATTTTTTTAATTATTTTTCTGTAAAAAAACTCTTCTTTAGTCTGCATTCTATTACGTGAAGAGTGCAAAATATATTAGAACAGTACCAGCATAAATCAGAGAGAAAGTATTTTATGCAAGGCTAAGTAGGCAAAGATAAATGTGTGGGTGAGAGAGTATGTGTGTTCGTGTGTGTGTTTATGTGTATGTGTGTGTGTGTAATTATTAAATAAAATATAAAAGTTGAAACTATTTTGTTATTACTTAACTTATTGTTGTTTTTTTTTAAACATCACTTCCAACAAGGCTGAAAGCAACCACTATTAGAGTTGGAAGTTATTGGAAGAGAAATGATGAAGATTATAAAACAAGAAAATGATTAACAAACAACTTAAAAGATTCCAAATTATATGAATCAGGAAACAAGATAAAAGGAGCGAATTCTAAAGAACTGATGTTCGAGGAAAAAAAACTAAACAAAAAGAATTTTTGGAGCACATAAGAGCAGTCACAGTAAAAGGATGAGACTTCATTCAATGACGAGTAATACAAGAATGAAGTTTAGTAGACGACATAAGTGATGCTAGTTCTTTAGAACAGCACCCATTATAGCATTTGTAGAAAAGTGAAAGAGAAGCAACATTATAATGATGTGACAATGGTTGAACGCTGGCTGCAAAAGCATGTCCAACTTTCAATGCATTACAATGCATTTTGCACCTAGTCTAAAATAGAAAAAAGATTATTTGAAAATCGGCTCCAGATATGGCAACAGAATTTCAAACAAGGATAGATTTGAGATTTATAAAGATAAAGAGTAGAATCCGGAGTAAGAAAGTGGTAGGCATGATAAAGAAGTACAACCTTAGCAAATGCTATTTTTTCAAAAGTAAGACTTAATCCAAGAAGACGAAGGTAAATAACTTATAGAGTACATTACCGTTCATAAATATAGGAAGATCTAGATTGTTGCTATAACAATTAGCTGAAAAAATTGAGTTTTATCTGAACTAAAGTTCACCAGCCACTGAGAGCCCCATGCTGTAGTAGAAGTGAGATCCTTTTGAAGCTCATATGCCCCCTCCAAGCAATCAAAGAGTGTTAACTTCTTATTAATAGAAGAATAAATGGTATTATCATCAGCAAACAATGCCACCTTAGATGTGAGAATTTATGGGAAATCATTCATGTAAATTAAAAAAGGATTGGGCCTAGGATAGAATTTTGAGGAACCCCAGAAGTTATAGGAAATGTAAACAAAGGCTGTCAATCGAGGACAACTTTTATACTACGATCGGTAAGGAAGGATTCAATAATCTTGAAGATGTTACCAGATACACCATAAGAAGAAAACTTATGGAGAAGATTAGCATGTCAAACTTCATCAGAGGCTTTAGAAATGTTGAGAACAACAGCCCTATAATAGCTATCTATCTAATGCACAATAAATGCTAACAAGAAGATTGAAATCCATATTGATGATCAGAAAGTCAGTTATTAGATTCAAGATGAGAAATTAAGTGTTTGTTAATTAAAGAATCAAAAATCTTGCTTATGATAGGAAGACTAATGGGACAGTAGTTAGACAAGTCAGATCGCTCTCCATAATTTTTGAAAATAGGGATAACCTTTCCAGCAGACTGTAACACAAGATTCTGATAAGCATAACTGCTATGTTGTCCAGACCACAAACTGTAGAAGGCGATAGATATGGAGGATAATGAAATAGTATTTTGGCAATTGATATGGAAGAAATGGTTACAACTCGAAATTGCAGCAGCACAATTATAGGCAAGTCATGGATAAGAGTGAGGCTTGACTTAGAATTGTTGAGAGGGAATAAAAAATTTCATGTTAGCCTGGATCCAAGAAGTTACATAAGAAGCACATTTGTCAGTAGGAAGACAAAAGTTTTCTACCCAAAAGCCATCACAAAAATCAAGGAAAGAACCCTAGTCAGCTTTAAGGTAATAGGTACAATGATAAAAGGATTCTGATGTTGAAGAAGAATGAGATTCTTCTTCAACTTCAGAAGTTTTAGAGAGATTTATGCTTGATCAGAAGCACCTAAAGGTTAATGTGGAGAAACTGAGCACTGACTAGGATCACAAACATGATATAGATTAAGTAGAGAAGGTAAATGATTCTGATTGTCTGGAAAGCAAGTTGGAAAATTGATTATTTGTGTTGGAAATTGAGAAAGGCAAAAGTTATGCACCTTAACGCATGCAGTAAGTCACTGACACTAGAGCCAAGCCACCAACAACAAAGATATTGGTTGAAGAATAAAGAGAGAGGGCTTGGTCAATTATCAAAAAGAGTGCAGTCTTGAGAGGAAGGAGAGCAAAGTGATAAAGAGAAAAGTGAAGTGGTACTAAACAAAAGCACATAAAAAAATAGTCTGTGGATTCAAACCTAGTTTCCCAACTAATGGGTGAATTCTTACGAATGTAAATGCCCAGGCCAAGCATGTGACTATTGGAGTCTATACGAAGTAAAGGAAGATAACCATCAATACTAAGATCACAAGATGAGACAGCTGAACTCAAATTAGTTTTACAGAGAGCACATAAATCTGGTGAACTTTGCAAGAGATAGAATTCAACAGAAAAAAATTACTTCAAAGATTACAAATATTAGTGAATGATCGATTTAGAGAAATCGGTGATGACAATGGTTTTTTGTGTTTTAGAACTTGACTCAAAGAACTAATTGGTTAAAGAACTTGACTTAAAACACAGATAGTACACAGTGTACTATTTAATAGTTCAAGCAATTGCCTCATTATTTTTAATAAACCCTAAGCCATAACAAAGGGCTCTGAATGCCTCGACAAAGCACAACAAAAGTATGAACTAGGACACCATGTGTAACATGACACTGGTAGCACTCTGATACTTTAGAGCTGTTGAAGAAATGATTCTCTCTGAGAGCTACCACAGATTTCAGGAAACCTGACTACCAGCCAACCTCAGAACCATAAAACTGAGTTTTAAAGCTCGTCAACAGATAAAATCTGTTTACCTTTTAAGTCTTTGCCTAGGAGGCCTTCTTTAAGACAGCAGCTAGATGCATTTAATGTCTGCCTTAAATGAGTATTTTTAGTGAGACACTGAAAAAATTTTAATTTACAGTTTTAAAAAAGCAATACACTAAGTAATAACTAAACATTACTAAAAAGATGTTTAAGATATTTGACATGATAATAAAAAAGTTTCTTCATATAATTTTACTAAATACAAAAAAAATTTTTTTTTAGTAATGCCAAATATATTAAACATCTTTTTAATAATGTCAAACATCTTAAACATGTTTTTAATAATTTCAAGTAATTTAAAAATCTTTTTATTAATGTCAAGTATTTTAAACATTTTTTTAATAATGTCAAATATCTCAAAGATCCTTGTCAACAACATTTACTTATTCAACCAAAGTTCAATTCAAAATGAAAAGATAAAAACTATATTAATATGGAGGTAGCTGTTAAAAACATTTCTAAGGTTACAAATGGTTATTAGAATTAGAATTATAAATTTAGTATTAAAAAAATCAAAAAATTTCTCTGAAATTTGAACAAAATGAAGATATTTAAACAAAACTTTTATTTCAAAACATGATATCATCAAATATTCTGTAAAATAACAGAACATTTTTTTCAAAACATAATATCAAATGTTCTGTAAAATAAATCAGATATTCTAAAAATTAAAAAAAATCCTTTCTATAAAATATATAAATTTTTGTAAAACTAAACAAAAACTTAAAACAACTATTAAAATAAAAAAATTTTATTGTAAATAAAACCTCTTCATGACCAAAGGATAGAAATTGATACATAAAGTGGAATAGTTCAGCTAAATTTTTACAATAACCACGTGGAATATCTTCAAGCTGAAAATTTAACCAAATGCATAAAACAAGATATTAATAAAATGTAATTGTAAGTAAAAATTGTAAAAAGATCAGAGATATAGAGAAGAATGCTTCTAGATACATCATATAAAAAGATCAGAGATAAATAGAGAAAAATGATTCTAGATAAAAATTATATCATATAGAGAGTTCTATCAGAAATACAAATAGATATGAGAAAACCTTTTTATTATTGTTTTTTTTTTTTTTTTTTTTAATTGTTATGTAAAATACTTTTTATTATTGTTATGTAAAATACTTTTTGCAGGATAAGAATTCATATAGATAAAATGAAAATAAAAGTTTTTAAACTATTTCTCAGTAATGTTAGGGTAAACATTACATCCTCATATAATTATCAGATAAATATAAACGTAAAAAAGCTATTAAAATATACATATAGACAAATATAACTATTTGCACAAATGTATGTTAGCAATAAATTACTTAGATTTATACAAATCTATCTATTAAGTTAATAAGCTCTAGATAGAGAAATAAACATCATATTTTAATGCATAAAATATTTAAAAAATATTAAGAAAATATACTTACTAGTATCAAAATAGCTTTGATAAATCTTGTGATTGGTGAACAAGAGCCAATATCGTCCTCATCAGATATTCTGAAAATTTAACATTTTTTTTTTTTAAAATAAGAAAAAAGAGTAAACTAAGATAGCTGTATATAAAATGCTAAAAATTAAAATTACTATGCCTTTCATTATCATGAATAACTGTCATTGATTAACTTCGTAAAAATATGAAGTTTTTATCAAATGATTTAATTGTTACTTAAGTATTATTTTATATTAACAATAGATAACCAAAAATGATTTCAAAACTGATTAAAAAAATAAAAGATGTTTACAACATTACAAGAAAAAAACAAAAACAAATAACAGTATTTTTTTAATTAAAAAATTTGTCAGTAATTTTTTAAGAACTACTGTTTAAAAAATGAATGATTAGTATTTTAAAAAGCAGAGAAAATATGCATGTGTTGCAAAAGAATTGTTCATAATAGTCCAGGTTTTCAGTATTATACAATAAAAACTGTTAGTTAATAAAGACAATTATTTTTTTTATAATCACACATTTGTTTAGATAAAGACATTTTTTTTTGTATAATTATGATTTCTTCATATTTTATTTTCGCTTTTATACTTGCGTCTTATTTAATACATTTATATTTTACAGCAAAAATAAAATAATACTGCATTTAATACCCTTCTATTGGTTCTATTCATAAAAAAATGTAAAAAAGATTTGTTTGTTTTTTAATAAATATAACACTTTTTTTTTATACACGCCTATATTATATAAGAATATATTTAAGAAGTATATATTTAAGAAGTATATATACCAGAATCTTAAAAAATATATATGTAATAAGTCTCTTAGAAACTAAAAATTAGATGACCTCAAATTTTATATTACATATCACACCAACATAACATAGAGTAAAACAGGTTAAAATAAAATAGCGGGTAGAATGAAATAGTTATGACAATGTTTATTCTTTCACTCTTAATTAACTATTGAATAATTTTATTGAAAATATTTTTTGATTTATATTGTAGAGAATATTTTTCTGTGTAAGATATAAAATTTTATTTTTGATTAAAATTTTTTTGTCATAAATTTGTAAATTATTTTTTTATTTGTTTGAAAAGGGAACTTAAAACTCTCTGAAATCAAAAATGGTTCTAATAAATGAATGAAATACGCTGGTTACTTGTTAATTGCAGTTTTATTAATTAAGTGACCAGTTTTATTAATTAAGTGACCAAGCAATCTCTATAAATTTCAACACCAAGGTCAGTCTCATTTGTTTCCTTAAAGTACACCAGGAAGAGATTTGTATAACCTTTTCATAAACTGGTGGAGTCATAGTTTGAGCATCAGAGTCATAGTTTGAGCATCAGAGTCATAGTTTGAGCATCAGAGTCATAGTTTGAGCATCAGAGTCATAGTTTGAGCATCAGAGGCAATTTTCATTACTCAGAGCAGCTTCATGCACACAAAAGGTAGTAGCAAAGTATCTCAAACACACTGCAAAGGTAGTAGCAAAGTATCTCAAACACACTGCAAAGAGAATTCAATATAGCAGGTATCAACGCAAATAGTCCATGTCATTTGTGGAATTTTAATGAAACTGGCTTCTCTGGTGATCAAGGTAAGCAATATATAATTTTTCCGCGTGATGCAAACCACCATTGAAATTGGTTGGCATCAATGAAAAAATCCATTATACAGTTGGAAATTGGATTAATGCTGCTGGTAATCGTCTTGCTCCATACATTATTTTCAAATCATAAAAACGTCTGTACAGAGATTGGTGTTTAAGTGGTCCAGATGATGCAATATACGCCATATCTCCATCCAGTTGGATGGAAGATAAGCAATTTGTGCAGTGGCTCACTAATGTGTATGTTCCCGCCATTATGAAAATTCCAGGTAATTAGTTTAATTTAATTTTAGTTATCTAATTATATTTATCTAATTTTACATTCACAAAATATTACATCAGTCTAATTATAGTTATCTTATTTTAGTCATAGATGGACATGTGACACATGTCACTTATCGAGTCGTACTTACATGCATCGAAAACAATATCTTGTTAATTTGTTTACCAGCTCACTTGTGTGTTAATGTTGTTTTAATTACACTTATATTTGTATGTTTCATTCTCCCCGAATGTCAGTGTAGAATGGAATAAATTTTTTTAATCAAATGAAGTTTTATAAAAAAACTTTACAAAAAAACTGAAATGATTTTAATATAGCTCAATGCTCTCTACAACTTTAAAAAAAAAAAGGAAAAATCTTTTTTCCATAAAAAAGAAATAATTAAAATCCTTAACTATTCCATTTGATCCCATTTTACTCTATATCTTCTCCAAAAATCCGAAAAGAATATAAAATCAATTATGAGTTCATAAAAGAGTATGATAGTAAATTGACTGGAAACGATAGTAATAAATCAAATTTTAGTCTAAAAAGTTGAAAAACAATGGTAAAAGAATAGAACTCTTTGGTTCAAGGTTTATTTATAAAAAGCTTTCAATATAATTGTCACTATATCTTCATAGCTTAGAGATATCACGGTTAAATTTTTAAAATTTAATATAATTTACAAAGCACAAGAAAAATGAATTAACTAAAGAAGCGCAATAAAAAATTTTATATTTTATTCCATTATTTTAATAAGACAGTATATTAATACTCAAATGGATCTTGCAAATTGCTTTGTTCATTGCAAAATTTTTTATGTAAATGTCAAGATGCTTGAATAAAGAAATGTGATGGTTGCAAAAAGTTTTTTACTGCAATTTTTTGAGTTGCTTTTGGTTTGATTATATCTGGAATAAACTCAACAAAAATCCAATTAACTGATAAAACTGATAAAACTGAATTAACTGGTAAAACTGATAAAACTGATATTTTTTGTTCTGTTAAAATAATCAACTCTCTAGAGCAATTTTTTTTTTTGAAGTTTTCAGATTTTTGCTTTTGCATTTATTACAATTATTTTTGCTTTTATTACAATTATTTTTTTTGAAGTTTGAATCAGATTTTTGCATTTATTACAATTATTGATTGAGACTGACATTTGTGGGTAAATTACTATTATTAATTGGGTAGATCCACACAGTTGAATTTAAGCTGGTAGAAGTTATGAAAAGATTGAACAGATATAGATTAAGTGTCTTTTGGTAGTTGAAATATCTTAGCAATTTTTTAATTTGAATTTGTGAACTTCGTCTTTTTCTTCTTTTGTTTATTTTGTAGAAATAAGCTAGGGTTTGAAACACTGCAATAGGTTATAGAGGTGTGAAACATTTAAAGAATTTCAATTGCAAAAAAACATTTTAGGAATTTTAAAATTGCTGCATAGTGAGTTAGTGTAACAGAGTGGCCACACTTTTTTTGCCTGAAAAATTAATATAATGTAGGTATTAATATAAATGTAAATTAATATAATGTAAAAATTAATATAATGTAGTATTTTACAAGGTTTTTAAGGAGATTTACTGGGAAATTTAGGAAAAATAATTAAAATCTTAGGAAATTTTAGAGGATTTAAGAAATAAGGTGGCACTAAAATATTTTTATTTTATTTTAAAAATGTAAGAATGCCTAGCTAAAATAATTAAGATAAAATTAGGGCCCAAACACTGTTATTTAAGAAATAAAAAGAAATCAAATTAGAAAAAAAAAATTGATTGAAAAACATCCAAATCTAAATCTCAGCTTTCTTGTCTTTTTAATAATGATAAAAATTAAGTACTTTTTTTGAAGCTGTAATTTTATCTAGTAAGTCTAGCTTTTCAGAAGTAACCCTCTTTAGCGCATTAGATTTTAGAATTGTTGACTTTTTTCTATCAATTCTATCAATGATTTCTGCTTTTCTGCTTACAATGTATACTCATCTCCATCATATCTGAGCTGAAATATGGTACCTTCAAGAGTGTGAATTTGTTCATTATAACTGGTAATCTTTTTATTAAAATTTTTCAGTTTAGTATCACGGTCAGTTTTTAAGGCCTTCAGGGACTTACTGACTGCTAAAGTATAGTTTTCGTGCATCCTTGACATTTCCATAAGTTTAGTTGTCATAACCAATTAGGATGATTTTATATTTTTATTGCACATGTGGTCATGTACAATTTTCTGTGCAACAAGAGTACCAGTTAGCATATTATTATCCAGAAGTTGATCGTTTATACTAAATCCACGCTCTACTTGTACTTGGCCATGGGACTATATTAGTAACAATTAGTAAATTTTAAAAAAAGTCCTTGAACCTTGAAGCATCTTTATATTGAACCAAAAAAGAATCTAATCTATCACTTTCTTTTTTAAACCCAAGAAATTTTTCCTTGTTGACTTTCACAACAGTAGTTAAAAAATGTGAATACTGCCATTTGGCTTGATCAGCAGCTGAAGGTGATACCTTTTTATAAGCAACTTATTTCAGCAACAATTTGTCAAAATAAAGTTCACACATTTCATGAGATTCCACCGTGTACAAAGGTAATAAACAAAAAGTATCTGGCAAAGTATGAGTTTAGAACACTTTTTTCAATCATATGTTTGCACATTGTAACTAAAAACTGTTGAACTTCTGTTTTAAAATTATTTTGCCTCAGTAACTTTTTTTCTAGATTTCAGTTGCTTGAGCTGCAACTCATATTTTATTCCAAACCCAAGATCAATATTTGTGACCAACAATAATGTGGATGCTTCAGACAAAACTTCTTTTTTGATAAATTTTGATAAAAATAGTCTGAGTAAATTCTTAAGTGTTTCCACAAGGAAAGGTGTCATAGGATAAGTTAGGAAAACTAACAAGAAAGAATTTAATAATTTTGCAGTTTCCTTAAAAAATTGAAACTATATAGGGACTAACACATCTTTATAGCATAAAGAAAGGTATTCATAACTAGTATTTTGCCCAGGCAAAATACTAGTTATGAATAAAAAGTTACTCATAAACCAAGTTGCTTGTTTTTTGTAAATTTTTCCAAAAGTCAATAATCACAATAACCTTGGGCCATAGTTTTCTTTGCTACTTTCTCATTTTCAATGCAACAATGGCTATAGAACTGTAGAGCATA